CAAGAAGCTACTAGTAGCAAGGGAATCGCTACTAGGAGCAAGAAGCTCCCCCCGGTAATGGTGGAATTGCTTCGCTGGTAACGGGGGCAGTCGCCGACACCGGCAGAAAGGGGTCCGGTCGATGGGACCTTCGCCTCGCACTCGGCGTCCACGTGTTTGTGGTCAGGTTGATGGAGGACTCAATGCACTCACAGTGGCAAGAGATCGAGGAGACCATTGGCTGCAGATTGCCATATGAGGAGCATCAAATGTAGGGAATCCAGATGCTTTCAGAAGGCAACCAGTAGAATGACTCTGGGTCAGAACCAAAACCACATGAGGTTGACCTCACCGCTTTCTTCATTCTGAGGGTGGTCTGGACAACCAGGGCCCAGGGTGCCAGAGAAACCAGTCAGACATGTGACATGTCATGTTGGAGTTTCCTCGAAGAAACTTCGGGTTTCGATGGCCGAAGCTGCTCGCTTTCTTGGGTGGACGGTTGCAATTGATCGTTTTGGATCACCGATCATGCGATTAGAACTTGCTTGACCTCACCATAAACTGAGCATGTGGCCACAGCTCAGGCCTACCGCTTTGCACCGAGAAGAACTTCACATGCGAAGCGTTTGGAAGGTCTCTTTTCAGGACAGCAGCCACTGAACGGAGTTTTTGCACCTCTCCAGGAAGATCGATTGTGGAGTGGTATATCTTGCATATTTTGCACGTGAACGACGGTCAAAACATGCGAAGACCACTTTAGTAAAGAGGGGTAGGTTTGTGCACAAAACCCCGCAAAACGATAAGGTCCACCTAAAAACCGATAACCCCAGAGCTGTATATGGTCATAAGTACGCGGCGAACTCAAAACACTATAAAACGATAAGGTCCAATTCAACACCAATGACGACCATTTGTTAGTTGAAGAAGAATAAGGAGTTTTGACCGTCCCTCATGTCAAATGTAGAAATTTGGCTGTTGATCTATATTTGCACGCTCACATACCCACAATATTTGGTAGCTTTCTCAGAATCTGATGGAAACTCGATGGATCACCATAATCATTTAGATAGAAATCCAAGTGTTCGGTACCGATAACCCACGGATTCACTTCAAACAGTTTTGCATGCAATTGGTCTCCAAGTAGAATTGTGAAGAATTGTTCTGCCCTGGGCCCTGAGTGGCGATAAATGGCTGAGTACCCTGTGTTTAGGTACTAGAAACCTCTTTGTTCAGATGCCAGCCACTTGCCTCAAACACTTCATGACTTCAACGACATGTCTTCTCTTTCACCCGCACAAAAGCGCTGCCGCGAGGATGTCCTTCGGCGCAAGCACATGAATTTCCGTTCCAGTAAGGTGCCGTCAGATTCCAACATGAGGACCGGGGGCTTCGTGTTGCGGTTCACACGCTCCATGTGAAGAAGGCCCGCACACTCCATGTATGACATGATTTGCATACATTCGGGTGTTTTCAGGGGCCAATGTAGGCAGATACTCCACTGTCATGGAGTGTTCGGGTGGATTTTCTGACTCCTGCATACTCCTGCTCATTCGTCCCGTTTGGACGGGCCGGTTGAGCCATTTCTTTTCCGTTGGGGCCGAGAACCGGCCCATGTGAGAAACCCCTGGTTCGACCCTCGAGCCGGTTGACGATCTCAATGCTCCACAGCTCAGATGTCAACAGGACGAAGCATTTTGAGGATTGGACCACTCGGTGACTGACTGCCTCGGTGACTAGTTGAGGCTATTTTGCACCATCCCCAGCTCAGAGCATCTTAGAGCCGAGGTTTGGTCCAGGACAGTCATCATGTTGCTTTTGGCTCCTGAGTGTTTCTGGGCTCCCGTGGCCCAGGATGAATCAAGCTTTGCAGGAAGACTGCTGTTTACAAGGCTTCGTCGTGCCCCCGCGCCGCTCAGCTCGAGTACAACCGCGCTGTGCTCGGTTCACTCGGCCTTTGGGGAGTGTTTTTGTGTTTTGGAACAGCCGTCTGCCGTCTGCTGCTTTAATTGTTCTTCAGGTGCTTTCGTCTCTCCCGGTAGGTCCTCTTCTGCACAAAGCATTTTGAGCATGAGTGAGTTTGCAGAAAGCAACAGGAACCTCAGAGCTCAGGATACATGCCCTTGTTTTGATATGCTTTGGTAATCTTTGGTATGTATCAAATACAACTATGAGACAAACCCATGAATTCTCACAGTATAACCCTTGCCTTCTGCCATTTCCAACGGCCAACATTCCTCACGATTTCTGACCAAACCTTTGCTTTTGGACCCGAAGAGCGAGTTGATGATGGACATACGCACCGCACCGTGTCTTCCACAGGCTTCTTCCAAACTCCGGACATCGTAGCGATGGCTTCCAACCTAAGGGCGATGGCCTCCAACTCCAACCTAATGGCGAACTTTATCGAACTTTGCTCAGGAATTAACGTAAAACATCCTAATTCTCTCTTGCTACTTCCTTGGCCCGTGGGTCTCTTCACTTTGCTGCGCCCTGTCAAGCCTCGGTCGGCGGGCAAACAAACCCGAGGTAGCAGCAAACAGCTGACGTGGTCGATGATTGGGAGCTTCCTGTGACTGGTCACGGACATGGTTTTTACTCTCCCTGGAACTAACATGGAAGCGCAAAACCACCTCTTTCCGAGGAAAATTGTCTTTCCAGAGGCCATGCCATCCACTTCCATGTTCCATTTTAGTTCTAGGGAGTGTAGTGGCAGGCATTGGGGTAAAGATGATGGATCAGCTTGTTTTCACTGATGGTGGACCTTTGATCTAGCCTGTTTGTAGTCAGTTTTGCGTTCAACGTTGACTGTCAGAATGGTCCTAAATCTGCATAGGGGGGTCTTATTATTAGTCAACAGTCAATATTAATTTGCACGGCCAGTTTATTTGAATTGAAAGGAACATTTGCTGCTGATGGCTTTAACATGCTTTAACATTGTTTTCATATGTTTCATAAAGGTGCTTCGTCGCAAGGTTTCTCATTTGGTATAACATATGATATCATATGATCAAACAGGCATTCACTCGACCTTTCCAAGCATTTGGCACCTGAAGTTCTGTTGATGTCGATGTCCAAAGGTCCCCTCACTCCGTGTCTAAAGATGTCCACTCAGACCGCGTTTCCGCTCATCCACCCTTGCTCCCCGCAGCCGCAGCCGCCACAGCCGCCACAGCCGCTCGGCCGAGGATCCTGTGGGATCTCATCACCATCCCGCTGGGGATCTTCGACTTGCCGGAGTTCATTGATTTTCTGTCGATCGTTGCAAGGACCGGTGTTTTTTTTGGTGTGTTTGGAGAATCGATGAGAATCTAAGAGAATCTATGAGAGCTGAGAAATGGCCACCTCCCTCCAATCCAGATTTCGGTTTAACACCATTGAGTTGATTGTGGATACCCCAACCCTGAAACCAACCACTCACTGGTGGAATTCCTCATTGATAAGCGAATCAGCGAAAGATCACCTGGGTTTGTTGTGTGTGTGTGTGTGTTTTGTGTGAAGTGGCTTCCGTGTGGGTGTTCTGCCTACTCACAAGCACACCAGATCAAGACAGCCTGCTGCCCGTCCATGCCATTCCATGCCCGTCCATGCCCAAAACCAAGTTCCTACCCCAAAAGACGGCAGCGCCGGCAGGATCTCCTTCGTGTATTGGCTCTTCGACATGCCTTTGCACTTCCTCTTCGGACTGGAGATCCAGGGCTCGGTCGAGCTACGCCCCACCAAGCTCGCCAGGCGCACAAGGACGAATGCGTCGTGAGGGTCGGGACGCCGGTGGAGGTTGGTGTCGGAAGCTACTTGCTGTGGTCTGGAAGAGGCAATTTGTTTCGAGAGGTGGCAGGCAGATGGTCCTGATTGGTCATGTATAGAATTGGTAGAAGGACCGATTCCACCGATTCCACTACCCAGGCTTGAGTTTGATTTGCGGCGTCACGGTTGGGTCTCTTTATGTTTCTTTTTTGTTGGGTCATGTTTGAACCAAATGCACGACAACGGATGACGCCGAAAGTTCGCTCAGTTGCAAGATGAAGACCAGTCTTGAAGACCAGGTGTTCGGGATCATGTTCTTTGGACGCATCCTATATCATCCTATCAACTGAAACCTTCCAGAGCTGTTCGAACACAACCCAGCCATTGAAAAAGAATCCAGCCAGATTGGGATAGCCAGCGCCTCTCAAAAGCAGTCCTTGGATCGGAAAACCAAGCCTAATGGAAAACGGGCTATCGGGAGTTCCAACGCAAGATCTTGGGAGCGTGTGAGATGTGGTGCTTGGATGTGTTTGGGGATGAATTAACATAAATAAACCAGGTGAAACCCTGACTTCGCCAACTTTCCCAAGGGAGAACTCATCGAAATAATACCTTGACTGAATAGGCTAGCCTCCGAACAGGAAGTGCGATCAGATGGGAAGGGGATTTAGTGAACATGCTGGCTAAATGGTGTCGTCGTCGACGACGGTCGTCGTCGTCGTCGTCGTCGTCGTCGCCGCCGCCGGCGTCGTCGTCGTCGTCGTCGTCGTCGCCGCCGCCGCCGCCGTCGTCGTCGTCGTCGTCGTGGTCGTTGTCGTGGTGGTGGTGGTGGTGGTGTGGGAACATTTCCTCTAGACGCTTCTTCAGTTGTTAAAAACCTAGGATATGAAGTGAACTGAGCTGACATCCTCATGCTCTTGTTGTTTTGGGGTCGTTTTCATCCTCGCATCTTTTTTCGCATCTCGCAGGCATTACTTGAAAACCTGGCAGCTTGGCGACATCGAGCGAGCTCTCGTCCGGGGGGGTGAACTCGCCTGGGAGGTGCTCCACCGGGCGCTATGCACCACCCGGTGCATTGACGTGGTCTCTGGGTAAGTTGATCTGCAGTTGATGGGTGAACCCTGGCAAGGCACGACGAGGAAGTTGATCTCATTCCACTTTGAATAGAACAATGTATCACACATCTGCTCTATGTATATTAAACATACGAATATTAATTAATATAGGTCTTAAATGGTCTTAAGTGGTTTTGACATATCGGAGACCCCATTCCGGAAGGCAAAACGATTGTTCAAGGAGATGGCCAATCCTTTTCGAGCAAAGTCAAGAATACCATCCCCCCAACCACAATATACCCTGTCCTTGACCACATCAGCTGCCAGCACTTTTGGGCTGGGAAGGATTAACGGCTTGAATTTGACCCATCTAAATCCTATGTTTTGAGGATTTCAGAGTGGTTAGGGCCGTTCGGGGTTGGATTCCGAAAGCGGATGGATTTTTCCTCCATCTTCAAAGCTGTTCTTCCAGTCTTCCTTGGTAGCTCCCCACCACCCCCAGGAGGTTGTTGTAGGAGGGTCCCCCCCCCCGCCGTGTTGGGGCCCCGGTTCGTGGACTTTCACCCAGCGTCACAGAGCATGCGTGGCAAAGCGACGCTTCGCTTCGCAGGTTCTTCATCGACTTGTTGGTGATCGTGATCGACGCGGGGATCACGGCAGTGTAGATCTCGGTGGTCGCCGTATCATTAAAAAAGGGCCATCAGCGCGGGAGACTTGTATGCAGAGGAAGACGCAACGGTCAGCTGTGTGTGTATGTGCATCAGAAATGGGGTTGATTTACACATATATATATATATATTCGTTCTATGCTGGAACATCTAATCCAATCTATGCCTCGATGCGCTATGCAAGAACGGTGATAATTAGGTGGCAAAGCACTGGAACTGGAACTGGAACTCGGCGCACTTCACCGATTGAAGGGGCCGTAAGGGGCCCAACCGAACCCTGATACGAAAGCCTTGCTTGGGGGAAATCCACAGATTGCCGCACAGTTTTTTATCCACCAAACCACAGGTTGATTATGTGCGAATCGACAAAAAAACACCTCAAATCATGGGGAGACCTCCGCAAACTACTACCCTAGGAGTCCACAACCATTTTTAGGATGATTTTAGTAAAAGGGAACTTCTGAACTTCCTTGACTTCAATGGGGCAAAGTATCGTCCTTGGACTTTCAGGGTAGTCAATTCAAAACGACGACCGGGCCGGAAGTCTCAGACCGTCCCGCATCACCGTCGCAGGTGGGTGTGGAGCTGACCGCCTTCCACTCTGCACGCTTCCTGCGCGCCTTGCGGCTCCTGCGCTTGCTGCGCTTGCTGCGGGTGGCCAAGTTGCAGCAGGCGAGGTACCCGAGTCCGCGGCCCATCTTCAGCGGAACGGGGAGGGTGGAGTCTGCACCTGGCAGATGCGGAAAGCAGGCGGGCAGAATCGGACTTACCTTTTCAGATCCCTTCCAATCGCATGGATCCCGAAGAACGAATGGACCCGAGATGTCTTGGAATAGAGTTGCTTCTGTCAAGCTAGCTGCTAGCTCGAAGGAACAGTGTGAGACAGAGCAGATATCTCCAGGAGGTAGCACTGGATGAAGGCAATCAGGCCTTATGATGCTGCCGCAGGTGGAGCTGGTCCCGGCTTTGTCATATAATTATATTGCCAAGAAAGTGGACTCATGATGAATCATGGATCTATTTGTGAGACTTGTCACTTGTCCCCCACCAGTGCATCGCTACTAGTAACAAGTGCAGTACTACTATTTCGCGCTTCAGATCCTCCTTTGCCAAGTGGCCTTTCTTTGGATCCTAGACGGCCGGTGGGCAGGAGATGATGGTCCTGGCCAATCGCTTTTTGTCGACACATACCTTCATGCTCATGAAGGCGTGGGCCGGGGATGGAAGGTACGTACCCAAAACCTCCCAAAACATGTACTCGATAGGGTATGTACATGTATGTTACATATACTTAGGGGTACTTCCTGCCCAGGAAGTACGTGGATCACCTCCAGCACCTTTCTTGCGGAGAACTATGGGGACAATGCAGAGAAACACCGCGAGTCGAACAGTCGAACGAGTCGAACAGTCGGTGAACCTTTCTGGGGAAACTGATTGATGCATTGCCAGGTGCTTGACTCTTGGCCAGCCTTTGTTGATGTCTGATTCATGGCCACCCCCGGCCACGAATCAATGAACCATGCTTCCATCCCTATAGACTTTGTAGGGGCATTCTTTTCCTCCAGCCCGAGGTACCAGCCAACAGTCCCGTCCCCTTTCACCTGGCACCCAGCCGCTACCTCACTCCATGTGACCGACGGTCCGACGTCCGACGCATGGGACCACGAACCACCCGGAGAAACGACCAGCGAGCAGAAAGCCTGGTTGGGTCATGTTAGGTCATTTGTCAATGATTCCATCTTCGATTCGAGGGACGACCTGTAAAAGCAGCTCGGGAAGCGAAGCTCGGTTTGACGGCCCTTGATTCTTCCCGTCTCCTTGGGCGTATTTTTTCGTGGCTTCCGGTCTTCGAAACCTGGACCACATGTTTCGCTCGGGATCTGGACTCTCGAGGTGGTGGCTGGAGTCTTCATGATTTTGCTTATCAACCACATCATCGCATGCCTCTTGGCGACACCGTCGGTGCGACGACAATCGATGACACCACAAAGCAGTGGTGAGACCTCACCGGATGGGGCCGCGTGCCGCATCGCTTCCGCTGGAAAACCAAATGCCACAGAAACCAATATAACATATAGGCAAATACATGAACATGCTACGTTTGGATGGGGTTCTGGAGGATTTCTGTGGGCTGAACGTGTGACCTTGCACAAAACGTTGCGCTTCTCGCTTCGTTGAACATCAAGAACCCTTGCCCGGCCTTGCCCTAAGACGCATTCCCTAGCATCATGCACGGACCGAAGTTGTTTTCTGGTCAATGTTCTCACTGAACTGCTTGCTATTTATTTGACTTGACGGTGCTGCAGCTGATGGGATGGTGTCCTATATTGCCAGGCAAGAAACAGAAACTTTTGTTTGCCTGAAGTGCCTTGCTGCTCCCAAAGGGCGGACCAAAAAAAGCTTGCCTGAAAACTATGTTGCTAAAAATGGCTTGCGCACATTCTGTTTTCTGTGGGACTGGCTGGGACCGGAAACCCAAAAACGGCCTGCGAACGAAACGACATGAAACGTTGTGATCGGTCTTGGATTGCTGTATTCTGCGTATCACCGGCCTAAGGCCCCGTCCGTTCTGCCGTCACCGGCCTCGCAGGTTCCTGGTTTGGCATCGGCACATGGGAGTTTGATGGAAAGAGTTGGATGTTCTTGCTGGGCTTAGATCCCAAAACGGTGCCTCGGATGGCAGTGAGTTCACGGTGAATAATACCGGAGAAGAGAAAGGACATGCTGCAAGGCTCTTGATGTGTGTGCACTACAAATCTCACGGGCGCCGTGGGGCAGCTAACAACTGATGCTGACCAGCCGGTACAAAAGCCCTTGACTTGAACCATTTTGAAGCCCATTGAACCGCAGTCCCTTGAAACTCACATGTTGCACCCATTCGATAGAGGAAGTGCGTGTCTTCTCAGGCTATATATATAGGGAAAGAAGATAGAAGCATGGAATAACATGGAAACGTGGACAGAACATAACTAACCAGTGTCCATGTCATGTTCATTCATTTTCCATCATTTTCCAGTCACAAAGTCTATCTTTGAGTGGATTATATAGCTCCCAGAACCGTTTCACGCTACGAATCCTATAGTACGATATCATGATTTTAAACTCTCCTCATGATGGTGAAGCAGTCACTGTCTTCACACGATGGAGCCGCGGGTGAATATGTCTCTTCCCTGGGTGGAACATGGACCTATACCTGGGCGGATTCCTCGAGGTCAAATCAAAAACACCAAAGAAACAGTAAACAATTGAAACAACAAACATTCAGCTATATATATATATCTCTCTCTCCTTTCTCTCCGGCATCCAGTGATCAGTTCTGCTTACGTTCTGCTCTGAAAACGACCTCACTCCGGTGCCGTGGGTGTTTGCGCTGCGCGTCGCGCCGCGTGAAGCGGCGACTCCCTCCGCGGCGCTCCGTTACACGCCCAGGCCACCTTCGCGGAGTCGTATTCGGCCTCGATGCACTGGGCCCTCACGTGTCGTGGAGACCGAGGGTGTCGAGACCTGGGGGGGGGAGACGCCGAACGCGGAAGACAGGCATGAGGGGGAGGTTTGGGGGGTTTCACACCCATCTAAGAGGGACGTCAATGAAGGGATCATGGAAGAGAGACCGTGTTTGGAGATCCAGTTTCACCCGAAGAATGACAAGGGAGCCTTAAAGGCTAAAGGGCACCTCCCCGTGGTCCATGATGAGACTGGCACCGGCGATGCGAAAAGTGAGAGCCGTCGTAGGCAGAGCACACCGGTGGGAACCCCACGGCGGAAGAAAACACATCGCACATGTATTCACTTCTCACAGCAGTTGTCTTGAATACATGTGCGATGAAAGGCGAAATGTCCCAAACCGGCTTCTGTCTGTAGCCCACCATGCCTTCCCAGGTCCATCCCGGAGTCCCAGACCTGGTCTTGGTACCAAGGCAATTCACACCTGCAACCAACAACATCGCCCCAGACAACGCCCTGGAGAGAACCTTCGCACTGGGCCACTCGCCACACTTCCGAACCCGCGCCGGTTGGGGCGGATCGAACGGATCGGAAGCGAATGGATAGACTCTGGAAACTGAACTCTGGAGGACTCAATATTGCTTCAGGAACTCAGAAACATGTTCAAGTAAGACCTTGGATTTGCGGGTAATTGAATGTGGCATCATCCCCTACCAAAAGGAATCTGGAGCATTCCCCTGGGAATGTTTGGTCTCTTCTCGTTCGCTTCGTCCTCTCGAGTCGTGCGAAGCCACAAACGAGCCACGCCTCAGTGATCATTCTCTTGGCCATCGGCGTCTTCAGCAGCTTCATCACGCAGATCACCAGTACCATGAGCTCCCTGCGCTCCGCGCGCACAGAGCAGCCGCGTGGTAGCAGACAGTCAGACAGTGGCAACCGTGTGGAACTAGCAACACTGGCGTTCCTTTCGAAAGCAGTGGGACTGCCGTTTCTGGGAGTCTGCTGAACCGGCCGATCTGGTTTCTGGAAAATTATTGATAGCGATGCCGGCGATGCCCTTGTTTCTGGGAGTTTGCCTTTGTTCTTCGTGAAAAATTGCTTGGCGCGATGAGCGTGTTTGAGATCGTTTTAACAGCCACCTCCAGGTCGCCACGTGCCAAACGTTCCACGCCGAGGTCGCAGAAACGCGCCAAGCTCCTCCAGTTCTTCAGCGAAAGAGGCCTTTCAGTGGGCCTCTTTGGGTGGCTCGGTGGCATCAGAGCGTGTCAGGTGTTCAAACACCACCGCGAAAGAACCTGCAGTATTGGGTGTTCTATGGTGTTCTTCAAACGCTTTCTGTGCCTGTCGGGCTCCCTTTGCTTCAACACTACCAATTACATCCAATTACTGTGTGAGTTTCCCTCAAATTATGTATCCTCACTCAATTCACCTTAATCTCCTCGTTGCCTCAAGACATGCATCTTGGAGTCTGCTCCAAGAACATGTGCCTAAAGCCAGCCCATCATCAGCTATATATGTATTATATAATATTATATACCTCCCTTGG